GAAGCAAAGCAAGCACCGATGGAGAGAACTCTGTATGCTTCAACAGTTAGAGGTTCGATGTACGCGATGATTTTTACCAGACCAGATATTGCATATGTAGTGGAAGTGGACAACAGATACATGGGTAATCCAGACAAACATCATTGGGAGGTGATAAAGTGGATTCTCAGGTATTTGAAGGGAACAATCAACAAGGCACTTTGCTATGAAAGTGCAGGGATCAATCTAGAGGGCTTTTTAGATTTAGATCTGATAGTAGATGTGAACAGTAGAAGAACAACGAGATATATCTTCAAATTGGGGAGCACAGCGGTGAGTTGGGTATCCAGTTTGCAGAAGATTATTGTACTTTCAACTACGGATGTCGAATATGTTGCTATTATTAATGTTAGCAAGGAGATGATTTAACTACAGAATTTCATGACAAAATTGGACAAAGATCAGAGGATTAAAAGACTCTACAGTGATAGTATGAGTGATTCATCTTGTTAAGAATGTCGTTTTACATGCCAGGACAAAGCACATCAACCTCGGGTATCATTTCATTGACCTCTTCTAGAAGATGAGAAGTTATTTTTGGAAAAGATACATACAACTGAAAATCATGCAGATATGTTGATGCAGGTGGTGATTGTTGAGAAACTGAAGCTATTCTTGGCTTCAGTTAAATTTCATGAAGGTTGAGACCGGGATGAGCCACACCAAGATACGTGACCACAGTACGTTACTATGAAGGTGATTCAGATGGAGGTACAAGCACAGAACTGGTGTTAGCTGCCATAATCTCCAAGAGGGAGATTGTTGGGCTGTGGAGCCTAAGCACTAGACAATAGGCGCATAAGCGCCCGTTGGCTGCTGCTCGAACAGAGGAGAGCCGACGCTTGCTTTGGGCGCATATGCGCTGGCTATAGAGCGGACGCTGCTCTTATTCTCGAGAGACCGACACCTATATGTCGGTCTATTGGTGCCTAGGCGCCCATTATATGGGGCGCCGATACAAAGTGCTTGGCCCTTAGGTGGCACGTTTGGGTGATGGTCGATTCGGTGAGCCTGTTATTTTCCTTCAGTATGCTTCAACGAGCATCCCAGTGAAAGTGAGGAGTGTTGACGAGATGAACTTTGGTGATTCAACGTGATTTTTGCATCAGATCAGAGAGGGAAGATTGTGAAGCGAATCCTGTAAGTTTCTTTTTGTGTGAAAAGAAAATTTGTGTGAATTCTTTGTAAAACCTTCTGAATTTCATACTAAAAATTTATGGTGCGGCTCCGTGATTTTTTCCCATTCTTGAGTTTTTCCAAGTAAAATCTTTGTCTGCTTTTCTAGTTGCTTTGATTGTGCTTTTGTGTTTAAATTTTTGTTCCAGTTTTATCGAATCATGTGATCCTATTCCATGATAAAATTAAAATTAGACCCTTTCACAGTAGTTTTTCCTAAGACTCCCTTGCCTCATATCTCCGGAGGTTGTTGAGTCACTGAATAGTGAATTCACCTCCAAAATGTAGTATGGTTCAAACTCTCTGCATGACACATCCATACTCACAAAGAGTTTCTTCTCAATTGGGTTCCAACATACATAACCCTTCCGAGTTGTAGAATGACCCACAAACACATATTTCATAGCTTTGCGATCCATCTTTCCCACAAATATCCTATTGTCTTTCACAAAGTATACACATCCAAATATCTTCAATGGAAGGATTTCATTATTGTCTCCTTTCAACATCTGACAATGAGACTTCCACTCTAGCACTCTTGAGAACATCCTGTTAATCAATTGAGCGGCTGTCAATACCGCTTGCCCCTATAAGTGTTGTGAGACATTCATTATCATCATCATGCTCTGGGTTACCTCTAGAAGATGTTGATTCTTCCTCTTTGTCACTCCATTCTGTGCTAGTGTGTATGGGCATGAGGTTTGGTGTTGTATCCCTTAAGCTGATAGGCAATTCTCAAATGCTTTCTTAATATATTATGTCCTATTATCAAATCTCAGTGCCTAACTGCCTCATATTGGGTTTAAATTGTCTTGTGGAAATCTTTAAAGCAAGCAATCACACCATTCTTCTATTTAATCAAATATATCCAGATAAAATGAGAAAAGTAATCAATAAATAAAACAAAATAACGATAACCATTCATAGAGCTAGTAGGGCAAGACCATCATACATCATAACGTATCAAATCAAACACACAAGAGCTCCTATTCCCAGAATTGACATAAGAGCTCCTAGTGAGCTTGTCAAACTCACAAGCATCACACACCAGTTTCTCCTTGTTTGTCTTTTCCAACATAGATAGATACAAACGACTCGATAAACTAAGACTAGAATGTCTCATAAGTCTGTGATGTAGCAATAACACATCCTCAACGTTCCTCTCCGATTCTTCTGTTGTAGCACTTTCTACCATGAATGTCCCATATGTCTGTGAGTCCACCTCTCGGTCTAAGTACCATGGTCCACTATGTCACGTTTCAGTCCCAAGTGTCCGACCCGTCCATTCCTCCTAGAAGATCACTTGAGGAATATCAAAAGAAACAATGCATTTTAATTGGAGAATAATGACAGTAATAGATAAGAGGTTTACTAGACAAAAATGAGCATGTAAAATATTGAACAAAATCATATGATTGGTACATCTCACTGTATTCTTACCAACTACAGTTTACGTTGTATCATCAACAGTCTGTATACCCTCTAGTACTGCTATATGAGTATATGAAGAGAACTCTCTATCAGCACCTGTCACGTGACGAGAAGCACCAAAATCTATGATCCATTCTGATGATCCTGTGACGGAAATAGAGGTAAGAGCAAGTCTGTCACCAGTACCTTTATTGAAGTGAACAAAAGTGACAATGTTACCCCTTGATGTCGATAGATTTGAAACATCCTCAGCTCCATCTCCAACTACTTTTTGCTTCCTCTTCAACAGCTCCAGACACTCATGATCCTCACTAGTAAAGATTACACTTGTCTCTCCTTCGTTCTGTGCTACCATCAGATTTGCCTAGTAGCCCCCTCTTCCACCTTTCCGACCCCCACGACCATAAACACCACCTTATCAACGTCCACCTGTCTCTCTTTCCTTAGGTGGCTTATGACAGGCCCTGCTCAGATGCCAACTTCATCACAGTTGTAGCATTAACGGGTCTCCCCCTGGACACCTAACATACCTGGGCTTGTAACAGCCAATGCTGATTGTGCACCTGAAAAACCACTCGACTCAGAGTGTAGTTTCAAGCAACTCTCCTCCTATATCATCGTAGCAATGTCCTCATCTAGTGCAGGATTTGTCGCCCGAGCTAAGAGGACAGATCTCCTCTGATCAAAGACCAGATTTGGATGAGTATAAAATTGCATAGTCCTCATCTATGTAAAGAACTCTCATTTCTTGCACTCGAGATCACTACAGCTCTGACATCGGTGAGAAGTAAACAAGATTCACCCATAACCACTCCAAATCTATGGAGTATTTCTGAACTGATTTCTCACCTTATACTACAACTTCTATCTCATGTTAAATCTAGAATACCCTCATATGGTTCTCAGTCCCAAGATAAATCCTTTTCAGCTTTGCCTAGATGTCCATCATCTTTCGAATGTCATTGACCGAGGACTCAATTGACGAAACCAATGAGTTGAGCAGCCAGGAGTAAACTAAGGTGTGAGTGGTCCTCCACTTATCCCTCTCAATATTATCACTGTTTGGTTCACCCTCACTCGGATATCCCTCTAGTCTCTTCCAGACTAGAGCAACCTCAATCCGACGTGACCAGCTCAGATAAGTGGTCTGTCAATCAAGCTTCAGATCCAAGGGAGGAAATCTAGCTTCACCTGCAACAAAGCATGAGTTATAGTCGTGGTTCTAGTCAAGACACTAGCTACCTGTATACGCCCTACCAGGACCTCAGGGTCAATCCTTCCCAGAATATCCAATCATTTAGTCCCCACACTATCTCCATCTCCCGCCATCCTCAATCACGTGGACTCCCTTCTAGGTCATTGTTGACCTCATTTTTAGTGAGGTCTAGTCT